GTCCAGGGAGTGTGGCATGGCAGGGGGACAGGACCCAGCCTTGGGCTGCCCTGCTGTCACCCTGCCTCGTAACCCCTGGCGACCGGCAGAGGGCCGAGTCTCACTCACTGGAGGGGTGAGCATTCTTTGGTCCAAATCAGGAAAACAATGCTTTTACCATCGGCAGCTTGTTAGTGCTTAGTCTGTGCCAGGCACTGTATTGCTTACTTCACAAGACACATCTCGTTTAATGTACCCGACAACCCCATTTTCAAAGAGAACAGGCTCTGCCCCGATCTGTGGCCCTGGGTGTCCCAGTCCAGTGTCTGGTGCTCTGAGATGGAGTCAGATTGGGGCGCTGGGAGGGGGGGTGCTCTCTCTCCCCGGGGGTAGACAGAGGAGGTGTGAACTTTGCCCCCCAAGCCTGGCACCGGCCCAGAGCTGCCAGCTGGGCCTTGGGGACACCTGTCCTGGACTCAGGCATTCCTGGCCTCACTCTCCCAGCTCACACTCCCTCGCTTCCCTTCGTACTGGGTGGGGCGCAAGCCGAGAACAGCTGCTTCTGGTTGTTGCCCAAGCCCGTCTGCTGTCAGCTTCCACGTCACCTTAGGGCCACAAAAGTCCAAGAGGCCTCCTGGGAATGTGTCACCCTCCAGCGTGGAGTCCCACTGGGAGGGGCCGTGGGGGGTGTCCTGGGGGTTTAAATGTCTGGCTGGCCCCGGCTGGTCAGTTCGGATAGGTGAGCCACCCGAGAGCCTGTCTTCTTGCTCCAGTTCCAGGAAAAGTCCAGTGTGGTAGGAGGCTCGGCAGCCCGCGAGCAGCCCAGGATGTCGCTGACCCTGAAGGCCGTGGTGCTGACGCTGGCCCTGGTGGCTGTCACCGGTGAGTAGCAGCTGCCTTTGGATGGGGGCAGGGTGAAGAGTTGGAGGCCCAGGCAAGGGGACAGTCCAGTGCCTGTCGGCCCCGGCTGGACACGAGGGCTGCCCAGCAGCCACCTGGCTCAGGGAGAGCTGGCGCCTTCACAGCTGCAGCCCACTGGCCTTGGTGCCATACAATTGCACACGCGCACTGCCGACCGGCTGCAGCGCAGGTGAACGGGGAGGGACAAGGAAGGAGTCTGGTCTCATGAGCTGCTCTGCTTCCTGCCCAGGTACTCGGGCTGAGGTCAGTGCCGACCAGGTGGCCACCGTGGTGTGGAACTACTTCAGGCAGCTGGGCAACAATGCCAAGGCGGCGGTGGAGGATCTCCAGAAGTCTGAGCTCCCCCAGCAGCTCAAGTAAGCGGGGCCATGCAATGCCTGGGTCAGGGCTGAGCTGGGAGGCAGACCTGCAGCCACTGCCTGCCACCAGCTCCTTGTGACCCTGAGGTCTCCCCAGCTGGAGTCCACGTATGCAAACAGGCCAGCTGCACGGAGAAAACCCTCAGGTGTCTTCCTGCTTGAACTTCCAGAGTGTGGCAAATGCCACCGCTCAGCCTGAGGCTCAGGGAGAAGGGGGGCGGGTAGTCTGCGCTGGGTTCTAACACAGTCCAAGGGATGGCCCGTGGAGTCCGATGGAGGGTGCTGGGGGCTCTGAGGGTGGGCACATGCAAGGAAACCAGCCCCCGTGCTACTAGAAGACCCTGGAAGAATCCAGAACATAACATCTGAGAGAACGGGGCACCCCCATGGGAAAGGCCCTCCAAGGCCGCTCGCACAGGCCGGGAAGCGGAAAGCAGTGCGCTCCAGGCACCTGCAGCTGCGACCAGCGGGAAGGGAGATTGAGACACACACTCAGGGCAATAGCCTGGTCTGCCAGCCCTTCGCTCAAGTCAGGACCCACCCAGGGACAGGCCCGGGAAAGGCTGGGCGAGGCCGGCACCCCAGCTCCCCGGTCCTAGGCAGGGTGTGTAGGGTGAGCGCCAGGTGGGGAAACAAGGTCGGGGGTGACGCCCAAGGTAACCCCGCCCTGCGCCCCTCGGGCAGCTCCCTCTTCCAGGACAGAGTGGATGGCGTGAACGCCTACGCAGAGGAGCTGCAGAAGAAGCTGGTGCCCTTCGCCATGGGGCTGCCCGAGCGCCTGGCCAATGACTCGGTGGAGCTGAAGGCGCAGATCCAGAAGGAGCTGAAGGTGCTGGGGCAGCGGCTGCAGCCGAACGCCCAGGAGGTGAGCCAGTTGATCAACAGCAGAGCACAGGACCTGCAGGACAGCCTGAGGCCCTTCGCCAACGAGCTGCGCACCCAGGTCCGCACGCAGACCGAGAAGCTCCGGAGCCAGCTGAGCCCCTACGCACAGCGCATGGAGACGATGCTGCGTGACCAGAAGGACAACCTGCAGGCCTCGCTGGCGCCCGTGGCCGACGAGCTCCAGGGCCTAATCAACCAGAACGTGAAGGAGCTCAAGGAGCACCTCATGCCCTTCGCCGACGACCTCAAGGAGCGGATCGACAAGCACGTGGAGATCCTGCGCCAAAAGCTGGCGCCCTACGCGAAGGACGCCCAGGAGAATCTCAACCACCAGCTGGAGGCCCTGGCCTTGCAGATGAAGAAGAACGCGGACACGCTGAAGAACAAGCTCCAAGCCGACGCGGATCAGCTGGGCCAGAGCCTGGCGCCCCTGACCAAGAACGTGCGCGACAAGCTGGCGGGCGGCGCTGCGGACCTGCAGGAGTCCCTGGCCCAGCTCGGCAGCCTGCTGGACCTGAAGGTGGAGCAGTTCCGCAGCAGCGTGGAGCCCCACGGCGAGGCCTTCAACAAGATCCTGGTGCAGCAGGTGAAGGAGCTCAACGAGAAGCTGTACCCGGACCCGGACCCGGAGTCGGAGTCGGGGGACGGGCAAAGACTCAAGACCTTTCTGGAGTTGCATCTGAGGAACAAGATGAACTCCTTCTTCAGCTCCCTGCAGAAGCCGGGCCAGGACCAGCCCCTGCAGAAGGAGGGCCAGGACCAGCCCCTGGCGCCCCCCCTCCCCGAGCAGACCCCGGAGCAGGCAGCCCTGGGGGGCTGAGCTGCCCCTGGTGCCCACGCCCGGCCCTGGACACCTGCCCCGCCCTGCCACCTGTCTGTCGGTCTGTCCCAAAGCAATTCCCTTATGAGTTTGAGGACACATGTCCTGTGGAAAATGACGCTACCTCTCGCTACTCAATAAAACTAAGAAACTAGCCCAGCCCGGGTGCCCTGTGACTTTGTGGTGTTGCTGGGACTGAGGGGGTGCCTGGTCCACAGCTTGGCAAAGCTTAGCAGGGGCAGCAGGGGAGACTGGGGGACTCCAGGGCAGGGGAGATGAGACGAGTGTGCTAAGGGGAAAGTGGAAAAAGAAGTCACACATTATCTGAAGACAAAATAGGCCATCCACTCCCTCCGCTTCGCCAACAAATACTTAGTGCCCCCGGTGTGCCCGTCACTGTACTGGGCATCCGCAGTCTGAGTCTGTTGCTGCCTCCCCCCCAGGGGCCCGCTGAGGTGAGCAGGACTGGCCCTGGCTTGGAGAGCTCCTGGCACAGTGGGGAGACGGGCCCTCCTGCCTTCATTCTCCTGTGCCTTTCACTCGACTTATTCCTATGGATTTTGGTTTCGTCTACCCCAGCCTCCCTCCCATTGGAAAACAGACATACTTACCTCAGAGACTCTGGATGGTACTCCCTGGTGTCCAGAGTTGAGGAGCGAGGCCTAGAGACACAGGTGGGTCCTGGAAGGTTGGATGAAGCAGGTGCCCAGGTGCCTCCTGTCGAGCCGAGCGGCCTGCCTAGGGGCCAGCCGCTGGGTAGAGAGGGGAAGAGGAGCTGGGCCCCAGGCAGCCTCTGGAGTGATCTCTCCCTCCCCCGCTCAGAGCCTCAGAGAAGAGCCAGTCCAAGCCTTTGTCCCAAATGACTTACATCCTGGCTGTTCCCTCTGACCTGGGTCTCCAAGTCCACCCTGACGGCCTTTCCTTCCTAGTGGGGTACAGGCTTCCTCAGACACCCAGAACTCGCACTGAGGGCCGGGCCTGGGGAGAGTTCTGGGGTCTCCTCTCTCCATCCCCCTTCCTCCCAAGGTGCTCTCAGGATGGTGGCCCCACTGGCGTGGTCTGGCCCAGCCTGCCCTGCTCTGGCCCTGGGGCCAGCCTGAGCCTCTGCCTATTGGAGGCATTCCACGTGGGAGTCAGGCACACCCGGTTTGGAAGCCTGGCTTTGCCACCGACCGCTGGGTGGCTTGACCTCCTTTGGAAGAGAGGAATGATGATGCTCAGCTCCCAGAGTTGCTGTGAGGGTTTGATGGGACGGTGCATGTTAAGCACTTAGCACAATATCGGGCAGAGTAAACGTGCAATAACTGTTCGTGGTGATGCCACCACGGCTGTAGCACAATAGATGCCCAATGCATGTGCTTTCCTCTCCCTGCTCACTCCTGACGCTGATGCCACTCACATGCTCTACAGCATGAGGCCACCAGGCTGGCCCAGCGAAGACCGCGGGGCCTCCCTAGCCCGGGCTGCAGTCACTCCCACACTCTGGGTCAGCAAGGCTGCGGCCGCCACCTGCACCTGGTGCATAGGAGGCAGGGACTGACTGGGAAAACTCCTGGAGGTTTGCTGACTGGCTTTAGGAAAGGGCCAAGGAGAACACGGCACTCAGAGGGAGTAGGACAGCCCTGGCAGGAGGCTCAGGTGGTTGGAGTGTCATCTGGTTCACCAAAAGGTTGCGGGTTCGATTCCCGGTCAGGGCACATACCTAGGTTGTGGGTTCAATCCCCGGTAGGGGCAAATACTGGGAGGCAATCAATTGCTGTTTCTTGCATTGATGTCTCTCTCTCTCTCTCTCTCTCTCTCTCTCTCTCTCTCAAAATCAATAAGAACATATGCTCAGATGAGGATTTAAAAAGAAAAAGGAACTGGGACAGAGGGCGAGCGGGTTTCTGAGCAGGTTTGGAAACGTCAGAGATGTTCTGAGACCACAGTGGAGGCCACGGCTGACACTGCTTCCAGGATCCCTGGGCCTCAGGGCCCCACAGCTGGGCCTTAGATGAGCCGGAGATAGTTTCCCCACAGCCCCCAGAGCCAGTGGCACTGGGCGAGGGCTGCCTTCTCTTTCCTAGGCCGCCGGTCTCCTGGGTTCTGAGCTGGCAGGTGTCCGCTGGCAGTGGCATCACTTTTGGCTGCCCAGCCTCTGCATCTCCCTTGGTTTCTTTGGGGAATTTCTGCGGAGACATCTTGATGAATGTCACCGTCTGCCTCCCAGGGGAGACGCTAGAACTGCCAGCCTCCTGCCTTCTGCCTTCTTCCTCTGGGATGTGGCCGGGGCCCAGGCGCAGCCCGTCAGACGGATGCTCAGGCTCGAGTAAGGACCTGCAGTCAAGGCTGACCAGAGAGGGGGGTTCTGTCTGGGTGGGCAGGGCAGTGGGCAGCAGCCAGTGCGCAGAGGCCAGAGGCTCCGCCCAGGGCCGGGCTGCCGGGCTCTCCTGGCTCAATGGTGGCAGCAGTGTTGTCCCCGCAGGTCTGGCTTTGTGGAGTGATCCTGGCCACGTTTCTCCCTTAGCTTCTCTTATTCTTGTCTATTTTTCAAACCAAGTACTCTAGCTTTTCTCTAAATTTACAGAAATGTATGAATAAATGATTTTAAAATATATATATATTTTTATTGATTTCAGAGAGGAAGGGAGAGGGAGAGAGAGAAACATCAATGATGAGAGAGAATCATTGATTGGCTGTGTTCTGCAGGCCCCACACTGGGGATCAAGCCCGCAACCTGGGCATGTGCCCTTGACCCAGGACCCTTCATTCCGCAGGCCGGCGCTCTATCTACTGAGCAACACCAGCTAGGGTGATAAAAATTTTTTGCTTGTATCTTCCAGAATGGGTTCTGCGGCTAGCAGTTCAGAACTTGACCTCTCCCTTCACTTCTGCAGGGGCCCCTCCCCCGGGAAGCTGAGCCATCCCTGACCCAGTCCAGCTGGTCCTGTTGATTTTTCTGAGCCAGTGGTCGGCAAACTGTGGCTCGAGAGCCACATGCGGCTCTTTGGCCCCTTGAATGTGGCTCTTCCACAAAATACCACGTGCGGGCACACATGTACAGTGTGATTGAAACTTCGTGGCTCATGCGCAGAAGTCGGTTCATTTTTCCCCATCATCTGTAACACTTGTTATTTTCTATGTTTTTAAAAAAATAATAGTCATAGTCCTAGCCTGTTTGGCTCAGTGGATAGAGCATTGGCCTGCAGACTGAAGGGTCCCAGGTTCGATTCTGGTCAAGGGCACATGCCTGGGTTGTGGGCTTGATCCCCAGTAGCGGGCGTGCAGGAGGCAACCAATCAGTGATTCTCTCTCATCAGGTTCGATTCTCAAGGGCACATGCCTGGGTTGTGGGCTTGATCCCCAGTAGCGGGCGTGCAGGAGGCAACCAATCAGTGATTCTCTCTCATCATTGATGTTTCTATCTCTCTCTTCCTCTCCCTATCTCTCTGAAATCAATAAAAATATATTTCAAAAAGAAGTAATAGTCATTCTCAGGGGACATATATAATACTTTCAACAATAAAGATTTAAAAAAATAGTCATTCTAATAGTATTACTTTATTTTTAATTTAATGTATTTATTTCTTTGTTTTTTTAATCCTCACCTGAGGATATTTTTTCCATTTTCCATGGATTGTTTAGAGAGAATGGAAGGAGGGAGTGGGGGAGAGAAAAAGAGAGAGAGAGAGAGAGAGAGAGAGAGAGAGAGAGAGAGAGAAACATCTATGTGAGAGAGATACATCAATTGGTTGCCTCCTACTCATACCCCAATCGGGGCTAGGGATTGAACCTGCAAGCCATGTACATGCCCTTGACCAGGAATCAAACCTGAGACCCTTCAGTGTGTGGGGCGACACTAACCACTCAGCAACACTGGCCAGGACAATTTAATTTTTTTCCCATCACCATTTATCCCTTCTATGACCTCTTCCACCCACCCACAATCACCACACTGTTGTCTTCATCCATGAGTTCTCCCTCTCTCCTTTTTCTTTTTTGTTCAACACACCCCAAACCAACAGAGCTGTCTGCCTGCTCTCTCTGAGTCTGTCTCTATTTTGCTTGGTAGTTCAGTTTGTTCATTAAATTCCACATATGAGTGAAATCATATGGTACTTGTCTTTCTCTAAAACTAGAAATGAATGAATAAAAATAAATAATCACCAGCTTCTCCAAGACCCAGTCATTGCCCGCTGGCAAGACCGAACCACCTGCGCACAGGAGAACCACACTCACCAAGCGCCAGGGAAGGGCTGTGGCTCTGGGACCGCCCACACCAATCCCTCCCAGGGTCCCCAGAGCTCAGCACAATTTCAGCCTGGAGCTCCGGGCCACCTCTGGCTCCTCAGGTAACCTAGAGATAACGAACTCCGCCCTGGGCATGGGTCAGTGCCCCAACGAGAGTCTCAGCCAGCACCGGCGTGGGCCAGGCTGAACTGCTAGCCACACCCCTGCAGCCATCCCCAAGGTTCAAGGTCAGAATCAGCTGAGAACATCAGAGCCTCTGACGTCTGTGGTTCTGATGTTCTCAGATGAAATGGCCCTGACCAGGGAGAGGCGAGAGCACAACAGGGTGAAAGAGGGCAGTCTGTTTAATTTTTTGAGGAACGACAAAATATTGTACCCATAGGGCCTTGCTGCTGTTGACGGTTGGTCCCAGCTGATCCCAGCAGCTCCTGCATGGGGACGCTGTGTCCTCCTGGAGTTGTCACAGGACAATCTGTGCTCCCAGAAACGCTCTGGAGAGAAAAACAACAAGGGTGGGGTTATCTGAGTACTGCTGTGTCTGAGAGCAGAAGCGTGCGACCCTGGCTATCTCGCTGTGTGATGACAAGCAGCTAATGCTGCTGAGCACAATTAGAGACCCCAGAATTGCCCATCTCAGAGGAGTGAGGATTTGAGCTGCTGGTCCTGAGAAGGTAGATTGGTGATACTGGGACTAAGGAGCTAGGGCCTAGCAACACAAAATCACAGGACATTGAAGTGGAGGGATCTGTCTTGTCTCTCAGTCCCATTCTTTTTTTTTTTTAATATGTTTTATTTATTCTTATAGAGGAAAGAAGAGGGAGAGAGAGAGCAACATCGCCACTCTTTACAGCTGCCTTGGGATGTAGAATCTTGGTGGTTTCTGAGAGGGTAGAGGTCTGTGCACCTTGTTTATTCTTGTATAGTTAGTGCCCAGCACAATGATGAGAACTTACTAGTAGTAGGTGCTCAGTTAGTATTTGTTTAAAAACTGAATGAATTTGACATCGTTTTCCCTGCTCTGTTGTGCAGTACGTGCATGTTCGTCTTTGCCAGGCGAGGCTGAATTGTTTTCCGCGTTTCAGCCAATGTTTCATATTGTACAACAGCCTCCTCATCCACCTCTTCCTTCGGCGGCACCTGGTGCTCCAGGCCGGGGCTGTTATGCGCAGCGGCACGGCTGTGCGCTGCACAGTTCCGAGGGCGCCTTTCCCACGCTGCAGGTGCTATGGAATTGCGTATTCCTGACAAGTTCCACAGTGTTTGAGGAAGAGGAGGCTAATTCTAACTCACGCACAGGGGTGACACGGGCGAGCACCCGATTTGCTATGGCTCCTTAGCCTTTTTGCTCCTTAGTCAGTGCAGTCCATCAGATTGGAGCCCATGGGTGCTCACGGCCCACGATGAGCTTCCTCCAGCCTGCTGAGTGAACTGCACCTGTCTGCCTGCTTTCCAGCTTTCAGGTTGGTGCTGTGGTCTTCCGTTCTTCTTGTCCCAGGTGTCTACATCTTTTCTAAAAAGATCTTTGCACTATAGTTTGAGAGCAGTCTCCGGGAAAGGTGAAATGCGATCCCTGCATGCAACTTGTCTTGTGTAACTGGAGGCCCATAGCCGAGCAGACGCGGCCTTGTGGTGCCTTTGTTTCGGGAGCCAAAGCACCAGCTCCGACCACCTGGAGGTCTTCGCGGCATTGCAAGGGGTTGGGAATAGTAATGAACCTGTCAGAAAATATTCTTTCATTTTAAAATATACATTAAGTAAATAACCGTGGAATGCATGCATTTAGCTATGAAGATGTTCATTGCAATACTGCTTGTAATTTTGAAAATTAAATACAAACCAATGTGCCCTGGCCAAGGAGCTCAGTTTGTTATAGTGTTGTCCCAAGATGCCAAGGTTGTGGGTTTGATCCCTCGGTCAGGGCACATACAAGAATCAACCAATGAATGCACAAATAAATGGAACAACAAATCAATGTCTCTCTCTCTCTCTCTTTCTCTCTCTCTCTCTCCCTCTTCTTCTCCCTCTCCCTCTCCCTTCTTCTCTCTCTCTAAGATAAATAAATAGCCCGGCTTGTGTGGCTCAGTGGTTGACTATCAATCTATGAACCAGGAGAGCACATGTCTGGATTGTGGGCTTGATCCCCTGTGCCGTGCCAGCTCAGTCAAGGGTTCAAAAGCCTGAGGGAGGGCGGTGAAGGATGAAGAAAAGACAGACAGAGAATAAGCTGGGTCTAGGTAGATCTTCCTGTGCCTGGCTGAGGCCACAGAGAGAGATCCAGACAGCAAGCTGAGCCTTTATTTTATAGCCAGAGGTAAACAAGGTAGTGGTCACCATAGTTACAATGTTCTTGTGAGTTTCACTTGTTTTGGCAGCACTTGCTACATTTCCCTCAGCCCATTAGCTACCCAGAGAAGATCTAGGGAGCCTCATAAGGTCAAGCTTAATTATGCTAAGAGGGCTGTGCCCTCTAAGCTGGGACTTGTTTGTGGCTTTGCCAACAAGTCAGTCCGAGGCTTAACCCTATAGCCGCTCCCTACATCTCATCTTTTTTTATTTTTAAGCTACTATAATAAAAGTAAAACTTAAGCATCAAGGACAAAACTCTGACTATTAAAACAATAACAAAACAATTCCAATGCAAAACTCAAACTACAGACATGTTAACATTTTAAAACTTAAACATCAAGCAAGAATAAAGCTCTGGCTATTAACAAAACAATGCCAATGCAATACAGCAATAAGTGAGAAATCAAACTACAGTAATGTTTTTCTACTAAATGAAAGTTTCTTTTGCTCATTTACTCAGAGTCCTCGGACTTGGCTGCGCAAGACTTCGCAGAAGACTGGCAGCTAACCAATGCTAGCATAGCCAGAAACATGGTTGAGGGAGTAGCTTCCACATCTTGCTTTTCTACCATCTGCTGGGCCTCAGTTGTTAACTTCTTCAGCTGACCCCGTGCTGGCACTTCTGTCCCTTGCGTAGCCTTCCTTTTCTTCTTTTTTTCCACTTTGCTGTCATCGGGGCAACTCTGTCTTTTGAATGAGGGGACAAGAAGTTTCTCTGGGTCCATGGTGGTGATGCACGTAATGCTCTGGCACCCAAATTGGCTGTGCTGCTCCTTCTGGAAAGATACAAAACACAACCTCTTCCCCACATCATTACTGAATCTGGTAAAACTCTTGTCTGGTTTGTGCATCCTTCCACCGGGCTAAGTCAGTGGAGGCTATTGCACTGGAGGCCCGATGCCTTTTGGCTGCTGTACGACCCTCTGCGTCACAATTCAAAAAATTTAAAGTATAAAGAGCATGACTGAGTTTGTTTTGAGGTGACACATAACATCCGTCTCCCCCTTTCTGTTTTAGTAATTGCATTTTAAGAGTATGATTGGCTCTTTCCACTATTGCTTGACCTTGAGGGTTGTAAGGGATATCAGTTTTATGACAAATTTGATATTGCTGACAAAAATGCTGAAAAGCAGAACTAGCATATGCGGGTCCATTGTCTGTCTTTAGCTCTAAGGGAGGTCCTAGTACCGCAAAGGTGGCTAAGCAATGATTAATTACATGCTTGGCACTTTCCCCTGTTTGGGGAGTCGCAAAGATAAAGCGGGAGCAGGTATCTATATTAACATGTACCCATCTATGCTTACCAAATTCTGGTACGTGGGTGACATCCATTTGCCAGATTTGATTAGGTTTAAGACGCCTAGGATTAACCCCCAATGATTGTACAGGGCAATGAATTACACACTGAGAGCACTGCTTAACAATCTGATGAGCTTGCTCCCAAGAAATACGGAATTGTTTGCACAAGGCAGCAGCATTTTGATGATGCAAAGCATGGGAGGACTGGGCAAGAAAAAATGGGGTAGCCTCTTGCATTACAGCAAGGAGGTAATCAATAGCATCATTGCCTATAGCTAACGGACCAGGGAGACCTGAATGAGATTGGATATGACCGATAAAGCAGGGAAATTGTTGTTTCTAATGACTTTTTGAAGGTTGAAAAATAAATGAAAGAGTTCCTCTGAATTAGTGTGCCCTATAGTAGCCGTTTCAATAATTTTGGCCATACTTACCACATAGGCAATATCACTATATAGGTTAATGGGCTCCGTAGCAAAATCTGTCAAGGCATAAATAAGAGCTTGTATTTCTACCCTTTGTGCTGAAATATAAGAGGTTTGAAGGACCTTTGCACCTCTGCTGCAGTAGTATCCAGCCTTTCCAGAACTGGATCCATCTGTAAAAATGGTTAATGCCTGAGGTATAGGTTGTGACTTCACTATCTTTGGGAAGGTAAAGGTAATAACTGAGAGAAATTGTAAAACCTTATTTGCTGGATAATGGTTACCAACCTGTCTGGAGAAATTAGCAAGTGCAATTTGCCAATTTGTTGATTGTTGCCAGAGCCAGTGTTGCTGTATAGCTGTAAATGGCACTACAATAAGGTTAGGGTCTCGGCCCACTAACTGGCCTGTTCGAAGGTGGGCTCGAGTTATTAGCTGGGAAACTGAATCGTGGAAAGGAGTTAATACCTTAGTTGGAGAATGAGCCAAATATAGCCATTCAACAACTCCAGGAGCTTGCCAAATGACCCCAGTGGGTGTATGTGTAGTAGGGAAAATTAAAACCTGTAAAGGAAGGGAGTAATCAATTCTAGGAAGCTGTGCTGAAGTGAAGGGATCCTCAACCTTACGTAAGGCTGTCTTGGCTCCCTCTGTCAAGCAGCGTGGGGATGACGGAGATGAATCTCCCCTGAGTATATGAAATAAAGGGCTGAAGTCAGCAGTGGTTAATTTTAAAGCAGGTCGAACCCCGTTAATATCTCTTAATAATTTTTGGAAGTCATTCAATGTAAGTAAAGTGTCAGTCCGAATTTGAATTTTCTGAGGTTTTATTGTTTTTCCCTCAATAATGCTGCCAAGATAAGAAAAAGGAGATGTCCTTTGGACTTTTTCAGGTGCTCTGCATAATCCTGCACAATGCAGGGAACCCTGCAAATCTATATAGATAGTATTTAGAAGCGTTTCATTATTATGAGCTAAGAGAATGTCATCCATATAATGAATAATATAAGCCTTGGGATATTTTTTCCTTATAGGATGTATGGCTGCGGCCACAGAATCCTGACATCAGGTAGGACTATTGGCCATGCCCTGAGGCAATACTTTTCATTGATACCTCTTTATGGGCTCCTTAAAATTTATTGCAGGGACACTAAATGCAAATCTTTTGCAATTCTCAGGATGGAGAGGAATAGTAAAAAAAACAGTCCTTAAGATCTAGTACCAATAAATGATATTTCAATGGGATACCTGCTGGGGATGGTAACCCCGACTGAAGGGGCCCCATAATCTCCATGGTTTTATTAATTGCCCTTAGGTCTTGCAATAGTCCATTTACCAGACTTTTTCTTTATTACAAATACTAGAGGCCTGGTGCACAAAAATTTGTGCACTCAGGGGGGTCCCTTAGCCTGGCCTGTGCCCTCTCACAGTCTGGGACCACTTGGGGGATGTCCACCTGCTGGCTTAGGCCTGCTCCCCAGGGGATCAGGTCTAAGCTGGCAGTCAGACATCCCTCTGGCAGCCTGGGAGCCCTTGGAGGATGTCCACTTGCCAGGGGGGAGCAGGCCTAAGCTGCAGTCAGACATCCTTAGCGCTGCTGAGGAGGCAGGAGAGGCTCCCACCAACACCGCTGTACTGGCAGCCGTCAGCCTGGCTTGGGGCTGAGCAGAGCTCCCCCTGTGGGAGCGCACTGACCACCAGGGGGCAGCTCCTGCATTGAGCATATGCCCCCTGGTGGTCAGTGTGTGTCATAGTGACCAGTCATTCCCAGTCATTCTGCTGTTAGGGTCAAT